AAGAGTGTGTATCTGTGCTGGTGAGATCAATGCTGCTACTGTTGGTGGGAATTTTTCTCAGAATTTCCCTCATCTAAACAGGATCATTCTGTGCTGTCACCAGATGCCTTTGTAGCCACAGTGTTAGAAGAGAACTGTTTTTTTCCCCTGTCTGTTTTGATTACAAACAGTATGTAATGTCTTCCTGAGCAAACTGCTTACCCAAGTTTTTGATTGGAAAGATGCTTTTATGTTACAGAAAAACTAGAGAGAATGTAAACTGTTAAGTTCTGCTGTAGTAGACAGACCTATCCTGGTAGCGGTTGACCTCCCTTTGGCAATGGAGCTGTGAGCATTGGCAGGATAAGAAGTGTTTACGGCACCATTGGTGACAGTTTGGACAAGATTGGTAAAAGCAAGCAAATCTAAAGTTGAGGATTGAGTGGGACTGGAGGGACAGTATGTCCTGCATGCTGGGGTTCCCTTGTGCTACCACCACAAAAATACCCATGATTGTAGGTAGACATTGGACTCAGTACAGCAAGGACTTTAAAGTAACACATCTAAGGCTGAGCAGTAAGAGTCATGAGCAAAACCACCAACTTGAACATTAAGCTACAGGGCCTTTTCTTGCCCTCAGCCTTGTGGTGGCCTTGCTGTCATGTTGCTGTGGGTTAATACAGAGTTGAGCCTGGAGGTCCAAGCTCCGTACCGCACTACTCAGACAACAGGAATTCACCCAAGTAATTTTGATATTTACCAGGTGAGGATTAGAAATCCGTTACACGTTCCAGCTGCAGTTTGTAGTAGGCTTACCACTATATAGAAATGAAAAGCGGCTATTGAAAATAGACATGTTGGTTTAACAGTCTTAATTTCTGAGAAGCTATGCATGTATGTTGCTTCCATATTTCTGTGGAAATCTAATGTTTTTTTTGGCCAAGCCACTGAAATACTTTTAACTTTTTAACAGTAATGGCTAATCAGCATTAAAATATTTCGTAACTCCAGCACTCAGTTGTCATTCTGTCCAGGAACAGCAAGACAAATATGCATTAAGCATTTTGCAGTGCCTCCAAATTTGGATGGATTTTGATGGCTGATGTCTAGATTTCTGCTGTTTAAAAGGAGTAGCCAACAGCTGAGGAACAAAAAAAAAACCTGAACACATCAATCATATCACTTGGAGTCTTCTTGCACACAGAGGTCTAAGACAATGATCAAATCAAGAAAGTGCATAAGGTAAATTTCCAGAAGCACCAAGTCATGAAGGGAATGAGACTGGAAAAGATGAAATTTAGAATTCCCTGTGTTACTTGGTGAATTGTTTCCAGCGACCTCTACCCAATTAGACATACTGAGCTCATCAAAATGGAAGATCAAACAAGCCAATACTTTATGCAAACTTGCACCCTAATTTCCCTAACCGTAGATGAGATGTCAGAGGTGGTGTTTTACATGTGGGAAGAGTAGTTACAGGTGGTGAAACTGAGGTAATTCACATGTTCAGTCATTGAGTGGGTAAACTATCTCACATCAGGCCTGTTGCTACCCACTAATAATGCACATTTTTGTTCCCTTTTCACTTCACATCTTCGGCTGGTTATTTTTTGTTTTAGTTAATGTATTACACTGATATTCATTACACATAGACAGAAAAATGAAAATTACATTATCCTTGTATGGCTGACTTTCCTTCACACTTTTCCCAAAAGTAGCCTAATCAAACCTCTGCAGAAAATGAGTTGGCACCATCATTTTATGGAAGACTTAAAGCATTTTGAGACCGTGGCCCCTCACCTCTGCCATTTCATCAAGGCATGTTCTTTGCTTTTAGGCACCAATTTGTTTCACTACCCCAAAAACTCATGGAAGTTTTGGTGGGTTCTTAGTGTAAAATTTTTTTATACCATATGCATGAAAACTTGAAATTTAGCTTACAAAATGCCTTGCATAAGTTAAGAAGCAGAGCCCATATAATTTTTAGTGACACTTGCCTTTCCACACTACTAGTTTTGCTTATGTAATTTATTTTGAGCTTTTAAGCCTGAAGTGCTGGAGGTTTGGGGGCTTGGTTTATACTCGGGTCCTTACCTTAAAGTGTGCTGTCTACAAAACACCAACCTTTCTGCTTAGTTTAAGAGCAGAACTTTGCATCATTGCATTGCTGTTACAGGTTATGTTAGGAATCAAACAGCTTTAGGATTTAGAGTGGAAAAAAAATGACAAGAATGGGGAGATGATGACTGATGCTGAGCATGGATATGTACTTTATTTATCACTGAAAGGATCTATAGTAACTTCCATACTCATGAAACACCTCTCCTGAACAGACGGCAATTCTTAAAGACATTTTGCAGGCAGCTGCGGATTAGAAGTGGTGGGGTCTTCAGGAGGTGGTGTCTCAGCCAGAGAAATCATGTCATGATTTGTTAAAATTACTTCTTTTTACAGCAGAGCACCTTGGGCTTGGCTCAGTAAAGGGTAAAGGTGGCTACAAAGCCATGCTTGTGACTGGATGCTTGAAAGCAGCATTTGTTGTGAAGCTGCGGATGTCATGTATTATGTAGCTGGCTGTAGCATATAGCTGCCCTCTTGTGGAAAGGAGAAAAAAAAGTTGAGTACTCTCATATGTATATTTTCATAATTTGTGCAGTATGTATGCATAGTTTATGCAGTAATTTATCACAGCACTAGCATCAGGTCAAATTCATAATCAGAATTTGCATTGCTGTAACTAAGAGCAGAATCTAATCCGAAACTCCTGCTTTCAATATTTTAGACAAAGTAACTTTTTAAAAAGCAGCCCTTCCCTCACACTTTTACACAGACAGTACTCCTTTATTTAAACTCCAAAAGAGACAATTAAATAAACTGGAAGCTTATGTGCCGCATAAATCAGTCAAGACTTTTGTTCCCACCCCGATTTAAAATTTAACATCATTTGCAGCCAAAGTTGGTTGCCCAGGAGAGTCTGGAAGAGAAAATCAGGTTTTTGTGGCGACTTCTCATAGCTCTTAGAGAGAAGCTAATTGAGGATGATTTAGCTGCAGCCAGAATGCTGTTTTCTCTTAAATTTGCTTTATAAAACTAGTTAATTTGGTTTTTTTCACTGAAGTGTTTTCTGAAGGACCCTTTGTCTAGTGACTGGTCTCGGTGTGTCATTTCTTGTTACTCAGTTTACTCTCAGAGTGGCTGGCTGACCAGGGTGCTTCTCCACACGGATGCGAGGAGATTCCACTTCCTTTTCCTACAGTCTAGGGCTTCCTTTTCAGAAAAGAAAAATACTGGGTGCACATTTGTAAACTTTGAGTCAAGCTGAGCAAGCAGACATCTGCTATTTCCTCTATACAGCAAGCTCGCAAAGATGCTTTGTAGGGAGGCTGTGTGGCCTAGTGGTTAGTGTAGAAATGTGTCAGGCAGGATTTCTCAGTTCTATTACTGGAGCTCAATGAAATTTAATGGTTTCAATATGTTTCTATTTCTTGTCCTTTTGTTAATTTCCTCCTTGACTGAAAGTTCCTGTTTTCTGATGTAACCCGGGGCAAGTTAAATAACTTCTGTGTTTTATGGTCCTGCCCTGAAAAAAACAGCGTATTGAACAGGAGAATATGGCTGTGAGACTAGCTAAGTAGTAACATTCTGCAATGCACACAAAGGCAGTAGGAGACAGTAGGTATTATTTCAAAGGCCAATGGGAAAACCATATATAGAAAGTGAGATGTAGGTTTTCTGAAAGATTTAACTGCTCTACCAGTATCACGTGGGAAAATCTCTGGGGAATCTGCCAATTGAGTCTTTAAAAAGAACTGCCATTTATACCTTCTAGCAAATACTGAAAATGAAATTCAGATAACTTTTTTAGGGGATTATTAAGGGAGATGCCAAATTAAAAAATCAGATTATCTCATCAGAAAACTTCTAGCACTGTAATTTCCCAAAGCATGTAGTCGCTCTGCCATACAAAAATGAAGTCTTATGTCCTTCTTGATACAATTCATATCTCAGTCTCATTTTCTAAGCTAATATTAGAACGGTTGTGGGGTTTTTTTTTAACTAAACAAGTGTCAGTTATGTAGTGAAATCAAAGGTTGTCCTGAAAACCTTCACTCACAATAGAAGTAAGATTAGTTATTTGAATAAGGGCTTCATTGTGTAAGTATTCATAGCATTTTTTCAAGGCAAAAACCTCTTGTTCTCAGTATAGGATTTGTGCCTAAATTCTAAGTAAAGCAATTTATTGTTTTATAATAAATGCATCTTTAGGTTGCTAAATTCAAGCATTATGGCTGCATAAATAACTGAAATGAACTGTTTGCTGCAAACAGGAATTATCTTTGTGGATTACAGCCAATCTAGGTAGATTTAAAAGATGCTGACACCACCTTATTCCAGTGCACACAGAACTGGAAATCTGTTAAAGATGTTAGGGATTCTTTTTTATTATTATTATTTTTTATAAAATCCTTATCTCAGATTAACATGGGATCATTTCAGGACAGCAATTTTTAGCCTTTTTTTTTTTTTTTTAATTTGCTAACTGCTAAAAGATTTCTAAAGGAGATGCAGACTAACAGACAAGCTGTTCTTAGTGATCTGGGTGATCCTGCAGCTAGGTTTCAAAGGGTGTTTGGAGTATTGTCTGAAAAACATTTTTGTAGGGCAATACCGCTACCCTTTTTATTGTATGAAACAAGGAGTTAGTTTCTAAGCACTGAAATTCTTGATACGCAGGTTGGGCTGCAGTATTCCATTCCTACGTTTAAATGACTTTCATATAAAAGAGCCTGCTGAGTGAAGATACATATTGAATTATTGCTAAATACACTGAATATTGCAGTCTTTGCTGAAGTGTAAAGGCAATGGTAATTTAGTTGCTTTGGGAATGCTTGAACTTTCAAAAAGCTGTAGGGTTTTCCTTACTCTCTGCAACTACTGTTACTTGAGACAGAGACCAGGATCTGCTCTAATACAGAACTAATTGTTTTCTAATTATGTCTTTTGTCTGTTTCAATTTCTAGACATCATTAACCCCATCTCATTCCTGTGATACACTTGAGAATTGGTTGTATGATGAAACTTCACAAAGCTGCTGTTATCAGTGTCCCTCAGGTCAGTATAATTCAGTCAAATTAGCATGGAGCCTTTCTTGTAGAGATAGTGGGAACTGTGTATATCTGCAGAATTGCATTTTGTCCCTGAAGAAAAGTGCAATTTCATGAATCACTACCTAGCGTGGATCCAGATGTGAACTTGTTCTCCTCTATTCAGTCTGCATGCAAACAATCTGTAAATTGCAAACAAGATAGCTTGCTAGAATTTTTAATGTACTTTTTATCAGATGACTTGACACTCTGAAGTATCTAGAAGTTGGCAGGTCTAAGAATTCAGTTCAACTTGCCTCAGGGTGTGAAATAGCTCGGTGAAATTAGGCTAAATAAGTTTCTGACAAGAGATCAAAAAAATATAAAATGAAGGTGTGGAAAATCTGTCATTATCCATATAGTCAAAACAGTTTAGAAAGTGTCTCACATGAGAAAGGGAACAGCCCCTTGTCAGGGGACACGGTGAGCTTTGCAGGAAGCTGGCTGTGACTCAGAGGCACATGAGGTCAGAAGCAGGAAACACGTTGGTGAGACAAGAGTTCTGGAAATGCCTGAAACTCCCCCTATTGGCCAAAAAACCCCTCAGTAGGTGGGGCATTTTATGGTACTTCACCATCATCAATCTCTTCTTCTAGAAATGTTTTCTTTTTCTTTCTTTCTTTCTTTTTTTTTTTTTTAAAGGAAATTTTTGACATTTATTTGTGCTCTAATAGTAAAAAGGGGTTTGCATGCATTTGCATGCAGTTACATCGGGGTTCCTGCTGGGACATCTTGTACTGCAGGCCACGCCCCTAGAATCGTTCAAAAGTTGTATAAGTAAACAAGACCAGGGGATGGAGAAACTGGTCCTGTAAAAGAAGAAAAGGGGCAGGGATCTGACTCTGAGCTGGTGCCAAGAAAAGCTCTTTTCTCCTTCAGAGCCATACTTTGCAAAAGCTCTGTAATGACAGATGTCATAGTGAGGTCTTGTGGAAAGCAGAGATCTGATTTACATCTGGCTGTAATGAGCCACCAGTCTCAATTATTTCACCTCTGCCTATTCTTGAAACTCATTTTGCTGCCACATCCTTATGTCAGTCTTGGACATCTCTTCACATCTTCCAGGCCCTCCTTCACAACGGCAATTCTCTTAAGAATCCTTTTTCATTTTAATCTTCCACTACTCCTTCAAACAATAACCTGTTCATATCTGCTACTGACTCAACAGCTCACTGAAAAGAAAGAGAAGCTTCTTTAAAATTCCATTTAATGCGGAGCATCTCGAACTCTTGATGCAGCCTGACGTTACTTTCCTTGGTGTTCCAGCCCACAGATGTACAGCTTTCAATCTGAGAACTGGCCCACAGGCAAGCCATCCTCTGTTTTGAAATTAATTTCAAGTTCAATTTCAAGATAAACTTCAAACCAAACCTCAAAAGGTCATTCCAATAAATTTCTACAGTTGCCACATCTCTTCTCATGTACTTAATTCTTGTGCAGGTAAAATAAGTCTTAATACCTGGGATACCGGATACTGTGATCTGTCACCACAGAACAAATATTTCCCTCTAGTCAAGGGGAAGAACAGAGACTTTCATGGGAAATAATGGTATATGCTAGAACAGCTCATGTTAATGTAGAAGTTGGTATTCCACTTCACTTCTGTTTATTCTGTTTATGTTTCTTTACCTTTTTTGTTTGGTTGGGTTTTTGTTTTACAGTCTAAATCAGATATCCAGCTACACAAGATAGTGCTGCAGTCAACACGCAAGATAATTTCCCACCCACAGTTAACAGCAAATCCTCAGGAGTGAATGAATGCACATACTCACAAAAGAAAAACACTTAAAACACTTATTTCATCTACTTAGTTTCAGTACATTTTTTTGTACAGGTGATTGCAGCTGGTATTCCTACTGCTCAGGCTTTTATCTGGTTGTTGAGCTGTGAACATCATAGGGGGGGACAGCACCAGAAGACACTGTTAGGCAAGCTTCAAAGTTACTGCACCTGGGGCACACATCCCCCAAGGGAGGGACCCATGTGTACAGGAAATCTCAAATAACTGAAGTTAAAGCTTTTGGGTCATTGCGGGAGGAAGGGGAAAATGACACACATGTGCAGGTACACGTGTGTGCAGCTTGAGTGCTGAGATTCAGCAATCAGCCCCCACCTAGAAAATAGTCTCAGACAAGTAGTTTTGAGGAGGTGGGAGTTATGTGGTTCAGGCTTGTCTGGTGGTATTTAGTGGGCCAAATATAGCACAGCTGTTTTTACCTGCACTCCTACACCATGCTTGCCAAAATGCATAGTAGGTGAGTTATTTCCCCCTCCCCATGGTTAACTCTTTGTGATTGGGTGATGCAGGCTGGATGCTGAAACTGAGATTCGTTTCTCTCCTGTTTTCTACCTGTGAAACATTCAACTCTTCCTATCTTTATGTTGCTGCTTTAGCTTTTCCTTTTGCTTCTGCAGCTGCCACTGTTCCCTACCCTCTGGTAGTTATTTCCATCTCCTGGCAAGGTCACAAGGTCACAGCTGACCACTGCACCTTCTAATTTCTTTGGCACTATGGCCAGTGGTAGAATACCTTAGAAGCTGCTTCCAGAGCTGAAACATTAGGAATGCTTCTGTCCTAGCCTTTCCCATGCTCCCAGCTTGTTATTGTATCTAGCTTTCCAGACAGATGCTTTTAAAAGCTAGTCACTAGAAAGTAGTTACCAGACATAAACATAGAGTCATAGAATAGCTTCAGTTTGGCAGAGACCTCTAGAGGTCATCTAATTCAGCCAGCTGCTCAACTTCATGCCTGCTGTGTATACACAGAAATTCTGTGAGATCCAGGGTAGTGTGCTTGCAAATTGTGAGCAATGAGTCCAGGTGAGTTGGAAGTGTTGAGCAGAGCAAGTGTATAGCATATATATCCAGCAGCAGAAAGACATACATATGTAATTTGATCTGTTTAAAGGAAAACAATTGGAAAATTAAACCATCTCACAACTGTCAAGGCAACAGTAAAACTAGTGGGACTGCTCAGAAAGCAGCCTGCTGCAAACCTGCTGAGCGTATACAGGGCACAGCTCAAGAAGTACTATTCTGTAACCTCCCATTCTGAACGTGGGAGATGGGGTTGTCCCTGCATGAATCCATGTGCACCTAGGTGATTCTGGCAGCTTTTGAAAGGAAAAGTGATGCCTTCGGTAGCAAAATATCAGGACTCGATCACTATAGTCAAGAAGAAAGCATGGAAAAAAATTGCTTTGGGAATTTAGTTAATGGCAGGACAATATTGCGCTCGCTGCAGATTTGGCGGTCTTTTCTAACTGTCAGCAAATGACTTGCCATGTGTCCATTCTGCAGCAGTCTATACTGACTGTGATATTACCATGCAGTGTTGCTCTAGCAGGACAGCTGTGATCCCTTCACACTTGAATAAGAAAGGGAAGAAAGTACTAGAGAAACTAAATGACAGGTACAAAGAGAAGATTCTGGTAGTGTGTCTAACAGGTAAATGAGCATACGAGAATGCTTCAGGATTATTGTCTCCTGTGATTCTGAACGGGTATCCTGCATATTTTGTTTTTCTTTCTCCAGGCTATGTTAAGAAGAAAGCATGTCCTAAGGACCCAGGTAAAGACTGCATGAGATGTGGACCTGAACAATATGTGAATGAAGAATTCCAAAAGCCACGATGTGATGCTTGTGTATCATGCGCAAAAGGTTTGCTTTCCCTCACATGTACCTCACAGTTATATTCTCTCTCTCTATTTTATTTACACTTTATTTATATTGTATTAATTTAGAATTTCCAGCAGCAAAATTATCCATCCTTGGTTACTGATTTGGAGAGCAGAATGCTACCTTGCACATAATCACTATCGCTTCCTGTGTGAGCTGGGGCTAACTAAAAATTCTCTCATCCAAAGCTATCCAAGTCTGATTTCTGCTTTCTGTCTTATTATTACAAGCCATTGTCTATAGGCTTCCCCAATTATTCTTGTCTTAAGTTGTCATTACAAAGAGTGGCAGCAGCCTGTTCTACTGCCTGACCCTCCGAACTGATGTTGCTGACCTTTGACCCCTGCTTTGCGTTTTCCTTGTAGATGATCCTTTTATCTGTTTCTTACCCACAGAATCTGACCTTGTGGAGAAAGAGCCCTGCTCCTTCAATTCTAGCCGCGTGTGTGAGTGCCGACCAGGTCTGTTCTGTCAAACCCCTGTTCTGAACACCTGCATACGATGCCAGCAGCACACTGTTTGCAAGCCTGGTTTTGGAGTCAAAGTCAGAGGTAGGAATTCCTACCTGTCTAGCTTACCTTTCCTGATCTTGGCCACAGGCCTGGACCTGATGCATTTTGGTTGGTTGGTCCTCAGTCATTATTTTTATTCAGGCACTTCAACAAATGATGTTATTTGTGAGGAGTGCCCTTCTGGGACCTTCTCTGATCAAAACTCCAGCACTGACATCTGCAAGCCCCACACGAAGTAAGTTCTTTAAAGCGACTAACTAATTAATTAAAATTAATAAAGGATGAAAAGGGACACCTGTCACTTCTGGTGCAAAGTGTACAAATTTGGGATAGCTTTGGGCCTATGTGCAGAGTTTAGAAGGCCTCTCTTTATACCTGTTGTACAGCTCTGTACTGGAGGAAGGAAGGAATCCCTTTTGCCTCATTTTTAGTTTATTAAGTACAGTGGAATTATACACACGTGTGAGTATCACATTTGCATCCAGGTCGAGAATTAATGCCACAGGGGTGAGAAGGAGGATAATAACTTTTTCACGGAAAGCACTAAATGCAGGTGGTACAAAAATGACCAAAGGGATGGTTGTTACATGGAAAATAGTCTTTATCTTGTACCATGGCAGTTTCCTCTAGCTTTGATACACTGTTCTCTTTCATCCTTAGCTGTGCCAGGTTAAACAAAATAGCACTAAGGGAAGGAAATGCCACACACGATCAGGTTTGCCTGGACCAACTGCCCACCTACCTTACTCCAAGCACTTTTTCCATGAGATTCAGCAATGAAACAAATAACTCTAACCTAAGGAGGTCTGAGGATAACCTGGTGACCACTGCTAGTTCAACTCCTGAGGAGGAAACTCTGACTCACACTTTTCCCACCTCAGCCAAGGGGGAGATGACAACGGGAGGTAACAAAGATAAAGCACTTACTCTACCTAGCATGTTTTATTTGGATGTATCTTTGGTAAATGCGATTTTTTATGTGTGACCTTCCTGCAAATCCCTTATGACTTGTGAAATACTGTCTGTGGTTCCATGTCCAAACACATGCATCTATTAATAGTTCCCCCTCTGTCTTTTCTTAGCTTTTCCTGTACTCCCTTTTCCTTTCTGTGCTATAGGTCTGGTTCTTTGGAGAGTGGTTCTCTCTGTGATAGTGCTACTTGTGGGCATGCTGTTATTTTGGAAATGGAAGGTTTGCAAGAAGCGGATCCTCATCCTCAAAGGACCAAGTATATGCCAACTGGGGACTCAAATATCCCAAAATTTTGTGAAGGTCACTGGGGAAGAGAATGTTCACTACTGCCTGGTGGAGGTGGGCCAGATAATGGTTCCAGGCAAACTGTTCATACAGCATGTTGGAGAACATGAGAGAAAGATTGAATGAAGCAGCTGTGAATTTATGGAGGAAGATACTACAAGCTGGGCGGGAAATGGGTAACCAGTGGTTTCTTCTCTCAGTACAGACACTAATATTGAATGATACCTGAAGTGTTTTGCGAGTATTTGTTGGTTCCTGGGATGGGGTTGGACTTGAGCACGAGTTGAACAGTGATTTTTTACTGATGCTGACTCTGTAGCTTTGCCTAGGGTTACATGTGGGGTGTGCCTGCAGAACCACATTCCCTCTTTTATAGAAAGCAGGATGTGCACATTGTAGGTTAGTTGTAGACTTGTGGGTGTGGTAAAGCTGTTAGAGCCTATATGCTCCATGATGTGTTTTGCTAAATGAATGGTTTCTTTTATCAGCACATCTGCCTTCCGTCACTTCACACAAATCCAGGCCCAGATTTGAAGGTGAGTGACTGATGGCCCAGGAATTGTAATCCATATGTCTAAAGAATAAGTGGATGGTTTTAATATGGAAATTTATTTTATGGAATTCTAATTGAAAACGTGGACCTTTTCCATGGCAAATGTGTGTTAATCTGCTGACATGCAAAAGGCCAGTCCTGCTGTCTGTCCTGCACAGGCAGGTGACACTCTGGGTGTGACAAGCCACTAGGTGGCACGTTTTTCCCACTGCCCTGAACGGCTGGGTGATGCATCAGTGCAGGGAGGCTCTACTGGAAAAATGCCCAATTAATTTCTGGGCATTCAAGTGTGGGAGACATGTTCCAAAAAAAGTGGATGTTAGCCATAGCAACCTGTACACATCCCCTAGAGTATACACATTTTGCCCAGTTGCCTCTCAGCACTTCCATTTCCACTGACTGCTCTGTTCTCTTCTGTTGTGCTAGATTCTCCTATCACCACGTATCAGAGCTTTTTTTACTCATTTATTCAGGAATACAATTTAACACCTCTTGTATGCAGCTTAATTTTCTCAAAATGGAATTTTTTGCTTCCTTATTTGCCTTACACAATAGAAGCTGTTACTGTGCAACATTATAGAGCTGGTGCATTGAAAATAAAGGTAGCTGCATGTCAGGGTGAAATTAGGTAGTAGGCCTGAGCCTGTCTAGCTTCTTGGTACTGCAGAAGGATGCTGTACACTCCCTCCTTCCCACCTGTCTTCTTTCCCCAGTGTTTCCTTCCTGTGTGACCACACAATGAACTGATCCAACTTGTTAATTCAGTAGAAAGTTATTAACATTTTTTTACTTTTTTTTTTTTTTTTTAATAAGCCTGTCTTCTGCTTATCTAGAAAGTTTAATCAGTTCATCGTTTCATTAGACAAATACCAGCTGTGGTGTGGGGAGAGTGATAGGGATGGCCACAAAGGGCTTTGGGGAGAGCAGGACCTTACAGTCTTGGTAGCAACATGTTGCTGGTTGCTGTCATGTAAGTGTGCCCTCAGTGGTAAAGAGCATAATGCAGGTGGGTTGGGCAGTAGAGTAGTTTAGGACATGGCTAGGTGATATTTCAGAGCAAATACTAACATTCTTGTGATTGCTGTGAATTTTCTTCTGATAATTTTTCCTCTTTCCATTGCAGGTTCTGATCCAGTGAACAAATATGCAGTAAGTGTGAACAATATTGCAAAACAGATCACTTTCCATTCCAATGTAAATGATGATATTTTAAAATATCCTGTTAAATAGTGCCAACCTTTTTGTTTGGACTTTCCTCTACAACACGTGAACATCTAGGTGCAGTGATAAGATGTACTAGGACTTGCTACTGTCATGTCTTGGGCTATGTTTAATGTGATGTTAAATAATGTGATGCTGCCAATCTTGCTCATGAAAGGAGTCACAGAATCACAGAATGGCAAGGGTTGGAAGGGACCTTGGGAGATCATCTAGTCCAACCCTCCTGCTAAAACAGGGTCACCTAGAGCATGTTGCACAGGTCATCATCCAGGCAGGTTTTGAATATCTCCAAAGAAGGAGACTCCACAACCCCCCTGGGCAGCCTGTTCCAGTGCTCTGTCACCCTCAAAGTAAAGAAGTATTTGGTTTGGTCTTACACCATTCATGTTGTGTTCTATGGGACAAGATCCAAAATCACAGGATGAACATGCCTTTTCTATCTTCTGGGAGAACTTTGCCTGTCAGTCTCATTTTATCTTACTGCTCCAGTCACACAACTGGGATGTGTAGTCTTCTGTCTCCCTCTTTGTAGGTTTTGGCATGACTGTAATATGGGTACGCAGTGGGTATTGTTTGTCTGGAAGACATTCCATCAGGACCAGCTTCTGGTTTAACAGTATAGTTGGCAGATGAACAAGACAAATATTAGTCAATATGGTAAGAACAGAAAGCAGTTCCTCAGCTGCTGAAATCATCACAGCTCTGTTTGATTCCCCCACTTTCAGTGAAATTATAGCAACTTTCATCCTCTGAGTCTTCTGAGTTCATTAGGCTTGTTATCTTCAAACGCCCATGTCTGCTAAACCACTCTTTAGTCTGTTCCTTTTTTTTTTAAAATCAGTTTGCTTTTAAATGTTGTACATCCACACACATACAAGATACTACTTATTCTAATAAATCTGGTTGCAATCAGCTAACATAATTTCAGTTATTGCTAATTTCTGAGTTGTGGAGAGCTTCCACTCTTGTTTTCATAGCAAGTCAGACATGGGCAAGAGTTTTAATCTGCACATTTCAAAATCTTACTATGGTTTTCTTTTCTTTTCTTTTCTTTTTTCTTTTCTCTTCTCTTCTCTTCTCTTCTCTTCTCTTCTCTTCTCTTCTCTTCTCTTCTCTTCTTTTCTCTTCTTTTCTTTTCTTTTCTTTTCTTTTCTTTTCTTTTCTTTTCTTTTCTTTTCTTTTCTTTTCTTTTCTTTTCTCCTTTCCTTTCCTTTCCTTTTCATCTTGTGGAAACAGAAACGGAGCTAGGAACCATCAGAAATTTGTGATGCAGGACATTTAGCCTCTCTCAGGTTCTGGCTCCTCTTTTAAAGGACTGTTTATAATTAATTCTTCACATAATAGCTAGTCTGAGCTTGTTTCTCCTACCTGAGGTTTTGCTGAGGCAATTCAACCAGTTCAGCCTCTGGCTTGTTTTGTTCTTCCATAGGAGCATGGTAGGTCTTTGCAAAATCTAAGAGGAAGTTAAACCATATAGTTTCAGTTTTGACTGTTTGACTCTCTCACCATATGACTACACAGCTGTACAGGTTTGTCCTCTGATACTTATCTCAAACCAAATATGAAAAATGTCTTCTTAAAGTTCTTTCTGACAAACCCCTTAAAATTCTTACCTCCAGCATCTATCTTTCTTACTGATGTTATACTCTTTGTGGAAAAGTGCTACTGAGCTTCAGCCCCCCAGAATGCAGCTGCTGCTATATTGCAGGATAGCAGACTCCACAACAGAGCATACACTGTAAGACATGGCAAAAAGTCAAAATGACAAATAGGTGGATTTACAAAGGTTCATTGGCATCTAAATTACAGACAAGGCAGTGGAATCTACCAAAGCATCCAAGCAGGTCCAGGAAACCGGATTTCAGTGGAAGTGAGGTACATTCTTGCAAATGCCATTGAAAATCTGTGAATTTAGCTTAGAAATGCTATTTTTAAATATTGCCTTAAGTGATGCAGGAACCTAGTTCAAAGAAACACTTCGGAATTTTTTACTCCCTGTGACAGTGGTGCTATGAAGTACATTGTGTTATTCTGACCGCCACAGAAGGATTCTGTAGACCTACTACAATCTTCACAGTGGTTTTTTTTTTACATTCACCCCACTTTACTCTCCTCTTTGTATTGGCAGAAGATCATACCGACTACTGACAGTGGACCAGAAAAGGAATTAATTGACAGAACCCCTCCTGTGGAAACCAACAATAACTTGGTCTCCAGCACAGAAAAAGCATATAGTCCTGATCTGAGTCTGACTGACGTGGCACAGAGCAATGGAAATTCCCCAGACTGCCCTATCGATTCTCGAGTGAGAGACCACACAAATAATCGAATTGGTGAGTGTTGCTTTTTTTTTCCCTCCTCATGCCTTTTCAATTTTTCAACCATGGGCACATAATCTCATTCTGAGATTATCAGTAAGATGCAAAGTGTCCAAAGCTTCTAACAAATATTGGGGCTGATTCTCCAGAGCCTTTGACATGCAAATTCTGGTATATCTATTCATTCAAATGTAATGCTTTTGTATTTTGACATTTTCCTTAGTCACTTATGAACCTGACAGAAAAATGCTCTGCGCTTCTTCTTCTTTTTCATTCCAGAAGATGTAAATTTGCAGAAGAAATTTGAAATCCAAAATATATCAGCTGGAAAACAATGTCCACAGTAATAGCTTCAAATGTGTCTCACATAATTTCCCATACAGCCTTTGACCATGGCACAGTGTAGGAGATAAAGTCAGGCAAAGCAGCTTACTCACAGGGAGAGAATTGTTACCTGAGACACAGCCTACGTGAGACATTCTGGCAATGTTTCCAAAGCCAATTCTGAGGGCATTTGAAGGGTTTTCTTGGTATTACTAGAGCTAACCTTACCTTACTGAATGCCCTTTCTGTTTTTTCTGTGAGTGATGGACTTGGGATCAAAGTGATGATTTGACTTAGCACACCCAAATATCTTGAAGCAATTGTAAGCAATAACCTACAGCATCTGATCTGCAGCATTCTTCTGAATAAAATGTAGTGGCCCAAGCCACAGCAAAGACCTTATTTACCTTTTGTAAAGAAGTAGAGTCAACAAGTTGGACACAAGGTTCAAGTCTATCCCAGAAAATTTTGTAGTTGATACTCCTCTGGAAAGAAACTAATTTCTTTGCTGGTCCTAAGACCCCAGATAATTACCCAGAGTTTCCGTACAGTGCTGATCCTTGCCCAAAGGCTTCTTTTAATGCAGGCATTGCTGCTTCTCGAAACAGCAGGAGCATACACCTTGGATTCTGCATATCTATCTTCCTTAGATCCCAGTTAATTGCTTCTTCTAACAGACTCTTGTCAACATCTTACTGCCTTTTCTAATTTGTCTTTCTGCTGTAGTCCTAGCTATAGCACAGTGGCTTCATCACATGGGAGCTAGATCTACTTGATCTAAAATGCCCAGAGTCCCCTTGACGGTGGTCCAAAACCAGACAGTGTAGTATAAAATGTGCAGGCCTTCTTTCTTGCTGAATATGTTCAGTGTTTTGATTTCAAATAAATCAAATATATAAATAAAGAGTGAAATAGACAACTCATAATGTGTGAGTTCCAAAAGCTTTAGCGGGTTAGTGAATTCTGTGTTTTCACAGTGATAGGCTTGATCTGCATGCCTCTGATTAAAAAAACAAGGGGAGGGGGAAGAAAAACTGAGTACCAAATAAAAATATTGCATGAAATGGAACCATCTCTAGAGTCAGCAGTGATTGTTAACTACGCTCAGCACTATTTTTTTCCTTTCTCAGAAAAAATATACATCATGAAGGCCGACACTGTTATTGTGGGGTCCATTTCAGAAGTGCCTAGTGGCAAGAACTGTGCTGCTAGAGGATGTGAAAGTAATGTTGATGCCCAGGAAAGCATAGAAGAAGAGCTGGGAATGCACTATCCAGAGCAGGAAACAGAATCTTTTTCCGGGAATGATGTAATGGTTCCCGTGGAAGAGGAGGGAAAGGAATTTCATCACCCCACCACTGCCACTGAAAAGTGATAACCCCCTGAGAAGATGTGTGAAGCTACAGAAACGTCCAGTGTGACACTAAGCCTGAATCTATGACCAGGAAGGTAAAAGCGTAGTCCCTTAGATTGTCTGAAAACTCATGTAAAACACTGAAACACATTCAAACAAAGAGTGCTAGAACCTATTCCATCTAACAAATGAGAGGATCACCTAAACCGTTGGCCTTCATAGCTCATGTCAAATATTTTTCTTTCCCTCTCTCTCCCAGTATTATGCTGGAAACAAATTTGAATCAAAGCTACAAAATTCAGAGGACATCTGGATGGCAACTCAAGTTTCACAACTTGCTTTGTCTGTACGAAGGAATGGATCGAAAACTATGTCTGATTACTTCTACTAGCTATGAAATTTCTGGCCAGAATTCTGAGTTAAGCTTGAGACCCAGCCATGTTTCATATGTTTTTCTATTCCAGTATTACCAGTACTTCCAGTTTTGTCATATATTTTGCGACGTCTGGTATTTTTCTTAAGGCCTTAACTCTTGAATGAAAGTAATGACAATTTCAGTTTTCACTAACATAAACTGAACTCTTAAGTTTGTGGACTTCATGTTTCTTAAGGAAATAGGCTCAAAAAGTGTCACACGGGCTCAGAAAAAAAGAAGGCAAATAAAACTAATTGAAGTCTACTGTACTTCAGGCCATTCTTTCTCATTTTTGAAGTTTGATTCATGTTTTTGACTACTTCAAATCATCAGTAAGTGTACAAAATGGCCTCTTCTGATGGAAGCCACACTGGCTGAACATTTGGATGTTGGATGAACTATGGGTTTAGCCCAGCGTGGAGTCTGTAAAGAGGGAAAAGAAGAAAAAAGCCTAGTTTTCTACAAAAAGGAAGGACTGAAAAACAGGCGCAGCAGTTATTTCCTGTAACATTGTTAATATCTGCTTGTTTTAGAATTGCTCAGAATCATCAGGGTGACACTGATTTGCGTATCTATGCTTTAAAAAAGTCTGTTTTGTGGTCAACTGGCCTGTGTTATGCTATTTCTCAGTCTTTCATGCTGCTTGTTTGATAAGTGTAAATGTAATAGTGCTGACTGTGTTTTTGCCCAGGACGATGGAAAATGAGCAAGATGACAAAGTGTGCCTTAATAGACAAAAAAAGGAACCACAAAAACAATTACTTGCTTTGTAGTTTTACCCTGGACAGAGTACTGTAATAACAGCTGTGCAACTTCAGTGCTGTTTTTCTTAGAACACACAAAAGGAACATAAGGACATAAAAAACACCTTCTTGGGCCAGACCAGTAATACAAGCCCAACATTTTATCTCTACAGCCACAGTAAAGAGATGTTGTTTAGGAAGAGGACATAAGCCTGGTTAATATCTGCTGTTTGCATTCCTCATGGTTCTGCAGCATCAGCTGCAATTGGATTAAGGACGTTAAAGAGTTTGTCCCAGCCTTTAGTATTCATTCATATCGCCATTAATTTTTCTTCTCTCTTTTGAATTTCCTGGTACAGTCTACCTCCATAAGGGCCTGTGGCAGCAGATTACAGATAGTTACCATTCACTGTGTAAAGAAGTCCTTCTAACCAGTTTTAAACCACCCTTTTACTTAGTGAGTGCCACTAGTTCTTGTATTACAGAATTTAGTGCAAAACTGAGTTGCTTTTACAAGTCTTGATTGTATCCTCTTCAGCCTCCAAGCTGAGTTCCCATCTTTTTATATTTCTCATTTAAGTTAGATGCTCCACTGCCTTGGTCATTTTAGTTGACCTCTTCCGCGTCTTTTCTAACTTCAGTACATTCTTCTGGACATCTGGAAGCCAGAACCATGCACTGCACTGAAGAAGAGGGGTCAGTCAAGGTTTTAAATAGTGGAAAAATGGTACTTTCTGTTTTGTTCTCAATACCTCTCTAGATGATGCCCACCATTTTGTTTGCTTTTTTTGGCTGCCCCTGCACACTAAGCAGATGATTTCAGAGATCCACCAAGGATGACTCCAAAGATCACTTTTCTGAGTGATAGCTGCTAGATGCAATTCAGCACCATGTACACCTGGTTTAGATTATTTTTCCCTAAATGCATTGCCTTATGTTTATCTATGTAGATGCTCATTTGCCACCTTTTTATGAGCTCCTTCTGGCTTTATTTGCCTTCTGTATGTTGTGAACTACCGGGAGAAGTTTAGTATTGCCTTCACTGCATGGGTGCTCTTTTCTCCAGGTCATGGATGAAGATATGTAATAGAACTGGCCCCACTGCTAGCTGTTCTGTATCCTGAAAAATTACCATTATGCTGTGCTATTTCCTTTCTGCCTTTTAAAGCCATAACTTTTGTATCCTGTAACTTTTTAGCAAACCCGTAAAATGACCTTTCGTCCAATCCTGTGACAACTTTGTTTGTCCACCACTGTAGGTGTGGAACCTTCATCAAAGGCTCTTTGAAAATCTCCATGTAGTAGGCCCGCTGGATCTTGTTTATCCATTAAGCCTCACAATGTAAGGGAAGGTATGTTAGCAGGATTTTGTGACTGAAGAAATAAATCCAGAGAAATTCATGCTTTTCTGGAACCACAGCCCCAGAGATGAAGTGGGAGAATCTCAGCATTATGGGATCTAGTCATTGACTTTCATCAGTGGATAATGTACCTGTAGTACATTTGAAAACTGGTTGTAATTTCAAGTGTTGTTAGTTCCAGTATTTACTTCCTGAATTCCACTCTTCTCTGCAAGTCCAGAACATAAAATAATTTCTACAAATAACTGCTGCCACTGTATATTTTAGTTTGTCTACCCAGTCTTGAAAGAGAGGTGATTAGTGAATCCTTTCTGTGTATTTCTGTTTGTGCTTGTTTTGTTTCATTCTGAAGATAATGCTCACATCAAAATTTCTTTCAGCCATCAGTATTGCCATGTCAGCGGCAGTTACATGAGGTGAAGAAGGAAACAGAACTAACATTTTTTGGTTTAAGTGCTTGTTGTGCAACAGAAGGTCAAGTCACCAAGTACTGACATAAAACAGCAATGCAAGGAAGAGGAAAAAACTGTGCAGGACAAATACTGGTTACCCTTTCTTCATTTCCAGTCAGGGTGGTTCATTGTTTTCCAGTGCATATGCCTCATTCTAGAAAAATGGAACTTCTGTTTCATTTTAGAGACCAATTTGTGTATCCACAAACTGTGCATAACTATGTTCGCCTGGCTGTGATTGTTAAAGGTTGTTCTATAATGACAGCTAACTGTCTATTTCAGCTCTGTGTAGAAATGAAACTTTTCTTACTGGAACAGCTTTCTAGATGAATCATACGCATTGCAACCTGCTAGCTGTGTTATAGTTGGTCAGTTTAATAATGCTGGTAATCTTTGAATTAAAAATTACATGGATTTTAAGCCATAGCCACACTTTTCCTGTCTGATACTTAATGTTTCATTGTTCATAATTTCAGTACCTTCATCAGTTGTGGAAAAATGTATCTTTGCAAGAGAGCTGTTCAAACCTTACAAAGCTGTTAGTCGACTGGAGGTTTTCTCAAGAGCAGAGGGGGTCTGAATTTGCATTAAGGTCTCTCTATACCATCCCGGCAGCGTGTACGGGACGTGAGCCCGGCCGGTGCAGCGGTACGGTGGGCGTTAATGACTGCTGGAACGCTGCAAAAGGTAAGCTCGCGGTCTGGGGCTAACGGAGCCTCAAACGGGACGTGAGCCCGGCCGGTGCAGCGGTACGGTGGGCGTTAATGACTGCTGGAACGCTGCAAAAGGTAAGCTCGCGGTCTGGGGCTAACGGAGCCTCAACAGGA